TAAGTGAAGAGAACAATAAAAATTACTAATGTAACCCCAAACAAAACAAAACCCAATGATAAGTAACATATGTACATACACACATAACAAGATAGAAGACATGGGTTCAAGTGTACCAGTGTAGTATAACTTTATTACATTCTACCCATCTTGCTAAATTAGATATCAGGACAACCGTAAAACTCGAGCTTCCGACGTACACGACCCGATCGACGAGGAAGCGAGGGTGAATCTGTCAAAACAGCTTCATGCAGACGAGCATCACTTGAAAGGTCGTCCCTGACAGGAGATTCAGCCACTGGAGTGCCGGGTGTAAATTCAAGGGGCACCGAGGTAGATGCCTTAGGGCTTAGGTAACTCAGTCGGTTCGGGATCGGCAGTATCTGTAACAGCTTGTCCAGCAGGTGCCAGATCTCGGAGTGACACAGTAGACTGTCGTCCATCAGGGAACCGAACGTGGGCGAACTGTGGATTGGCTTCCAGAAGCTCAACCTCATGAACCAGAGGGTCGTACTTACTGTTCCTGACATTTTTTTTTCTTTTTTAAGGGGATTAGCCCACCCGGGCACAGGTCACTGACCCACATCAGGGCTCGGGGTGCGAAAATTTAATAATAATAATAATTCATAATAAATAAAATTTATAATAAAATGTAAAATAAAATATTAATGGTAATAATAATAATAACAACACTGAGATAATAATAAATACAAAGAAATGCAAGAATGAAAAAAAATCAACAGTGAGAAACGCTATATATGTATGTTGTTTTGTCATGTAATAGAAACAATTGAGACCCTACAATTGTGTGTAAATGAGGCAGAAAGTCAGATCAGCAACCTGGGACTTGGTCACAATTTTCGTGATGCCATATGGCAGCAGCGTCTACCATTAGACAACACATTATGCTGCCAATATCTTCCCAGGCGGTAGTACCTCCCTGTTCGGTAGCTGCCTACTACCTATTACCTACATGTCTTCGTAGCAAGACTGGTCCATTAATGTCTTCGTAGCAAGAGGAGAGTCATGTTGGCATCGAACTACCATGGGCTGATCGGCGTTGGAAGTTAAACAGTTTTTCATGAGGCGCTTTGTTGGTGGCAGTACATAACAGAGACCAAATAGAATGAAGTGCGTCAGGTAACACAGATTCCCAATTATTTTCTGCGATGTTCTTGGACCTAAGAGCGAGTGTAAGGGGTTTTCATATTGTTCCGTTGTAGCGCTCGCACTGACATTTCCTCTTGGGTTGTATGGGGTAGTAGGGTGTGTCATACGGAGGCGAATTTTTTTTTTTTGAGTTTGAAAAATCGGCCCATGGTATTAATGATGTAGTTCTATGTGCAGAATCATGTGATATCTTCAGAATTGAAAAGTTTTCATTTTTTGCTAGGTAAATTTTAACTTGAAATCTTATGAAAATTCAGTATTCCCACCCTTTTACCAACACCACTAAATAGCTTATTTAAAGTAAAGTAAATGTATCAGGTTAATTTATTAGGATGAAAATGATCCAGAATAGTGAAACGAATGATCTTGACACATTTAATAAATTTAATATTGCTTTAGAAAACAAAATCATCAAATACAAAAACTGGTTTTACTACTACGACCCGGTGTTGCTGCACACCATAGAGAACATGTCTTTCTTGCTTCTGTTTCTACTCATCACCTCCCTGCTGACCACCTGAGCTCGGATGTAGCCTTCCCTCCTCTCCTGGCTGTACACGTGACTGCTGGCCTCGCTCACTTGCTGTACACAACGCTCTATACTCTGGGTGTGCGAGGGCCAGGCAGGGACACGCATGGGGTTGTCCAGGAAAGCTCTGACTTGAACATTGGTGAGGCTGCAGGTAAGAGGGGGCTCACTGCCAGCCTGGATGTTATCCAGATCTATGAGATCAGTGAGGGTCTTGGCACCTAGATTGACTTCAGGAGTCTTCCTGATCCTTAAGGAATCGTCACTAACTGATTCGTCATGCCCAGATCCTCTCATAAGTCTCATATCCAAGATCTTTTTGACTGCCACTCTTCTCTCCTCCTCAACCTTACTGCAGAGCATTGTCTGCAGAACTGTCTCGGGATGAGCATACCAGGAAGATCTCCTCACAGTCTGCTCCACAATCTGAACAACCTTCCTTGGCTGACTCCTCAGGAGATCAAGCTGGAAGAGAACATGCCTCGGACCTTCGGAGAGCGATGACTTGACCTTGGTATTGAACCAATTTGGCAAGTAGACACTCACGATGAATTGGACAATAAGTCTCAGGTTGTGAAGCTGGTTCCCTTTCAGTTTATGATGAGCGACCCAAATTCTGCAGACCCTGAGAGCCGTTGTTAGCCACCTAGAATGTGAGACTGGACCTATCTGCAGGTAAACAAGTCTATCAGGCATGACCCCAGTTTTGATGGCACTGCAAATCATGTAACCATAGTACTGGTCAGTACTCAGGTCGTCAATGACAGTATGTGCAAGCTCAACGAGTGGAGGGCCAACTGTGATTTTTTCAAAGCTCGGATTTATTTCTAACTCAGTGGCAGAGTCCAGCATCTTGCCAAGAGGACCAGACCATCTGTTGTTTGAAAGAGTCTTGCCATCCAGCTCCTGGATCAGATGTCTGAGTGGCAACTCGTTGGTGTGGAGGTCACAAACAATCCAGACCAGCTTCCTCCCAATCTTCCGCTCTATCCACTGTATGACCCCCCCTTGCCACCCTGTGTTCGTGTTGGTGCTGTCCCCTCCAATGGCCTGCAGGGTCTGGTCTACGTTCCTCTCTCTGAGCCAGTTCACAATGTTATCTGCCACTATCTCAGCTGGTTTCCTGTTGTCATCTTTCTCTGGAGTGAAATGCCACAAATACTTCCCTCCTGGTTCACTGCAGCAGGAGTAGTGTTCCTCCTTCACCATGGCAGGGAAAAACTTGTCAGAATCTCCAACTTTCATGAACACTTTAGTGTCATCCCTTCTCCCATCAAAGAACAAACAATTGATTCCATTTTCTCTTATCCCCTTATCAAACTCCTCTTCTAGGTTACTGACAAGTTTCTCCTGAGCTCTCCTTACTTTGTTGTGATCTATCACCAGGTGAACATCATCAGGTGTTATCAAACCACCGTCAATCCAGGCAGCTGTTGCTATCTCTGCAGTTTCTCTGAGACCAGTGTGGTGTCGCATGCTGGCCAGAGCTATGCTCGGGATATCTTTCCTATTTCGAATCTTATGCCTGGAAGGTTTGGGATCATTATTTTCTGGGTTAGGGACAAAGTCACCATTCTCCTGGTCAGCACTCGGATCAGCCATGGGGAAGTCATTAAACTCTGAATCAGCTTGACTCCAATCATCGGCCTTTTTTACCTCACCCTGGGCCTTCTCAAGTCTCTTTTCCTCGGCAACTCTTCTCCTCTTCTGTCTCTCTGTGGCAGCCTCCTGTCTCTTGGACTCCGGAATATCTTGGCTAGAAATCATGAGAGCCCCTATACTGCCAGTCTTCTCTCTGTGCTTTGACAAATGCCAGTTCGATCACAGGAATCTTCAGTTCACGCTTGCAAATACAGGAGATGTGGGCCTCGGATTTACAGTCACGATCGCATCCAAACTCAGGACAGAGAACAATTGGGCACTTGCAAGTAATTATGTCAAATAACTGGTCCAGTTGCTTGGCGAAGCTGTCCTTAACTGCAAGTTTTCCTCTCCCAAGAGAGATATCTCTTGCCTTTTCCCAACTGGCTAGCAGTCTCTCACTAATCTTCTTCTGACTTGTTATGACTGGAGGCTTGAACTGAGCGTTAGCCAGAGTGTACTGTGCCAAGACAGCTTTGGTCATATCACTGGTAATGTCTTTGTTTGTGTAAGTTCTTTGGTTCTTTTCACTGATTTGCCTGATTAAAACACCGTATCTCAAAGCATCTCTCAATGTAGGCAACTCCGACTTCAGGAGCTCTCTCCCAGACCCAAGATAGTGACTGAGATGGCTGGATTTTTGGTTCCTCGTCCTGACACAAGCAGCCATCGCAAATATTATCAACTTATAAATTCATCAGAATCTGAAACAGAAAAAAATATTGTTAGTTGGGTTGTTAAAGAATGAAGTCAGAAAGCATAGTTCACTATTTAATTGTAATGCACTAATGCAGCTGTACGTTAGATTTTCGATAAATTTCACGCTAAAATTTACCTAGCAAAAGGTTGCAAAATATTGAAACTGAAATTATTTTCTGTTTATATACACTAAAATCTACCAAAAAAGTGATGGGCCATTAGTTTTAGCTGATCTTCCCTCCTATGACACACCCTAATGGGGTAGTTCGGCTGGTAGACGCACCATAACAAGTGAGGAAATCTCTCAGCTCTCGGCTCATGAAGGAGGTGCCTAGATCCGAATGGACATAAGCAGGCATGTCTAATATAGCGAATAACTGACGTAGACACTTGATGACTGTTGCGGCGTTCATGAATTCGCATACAAACGCGAAGGGGTATCGTGAATGTTCGCCAACCACGGTTAGTAGGTGTCGATTTCGGGAAGTCGACGGCAAGGGACCCTTGAAATCGATGTTTAACCGATCAAAAGGCTTAGTAGCTTTGATGAGAGCGGTTGTTTCGGTTTGTAGAACTGAGGTTTAAGCCTGGCACAGGTAGTGCACTCAGCACATACTTTCTTGACGTCATCTACATTATATGGTAAGTTGCAAATGCGGATGAATTGAGCAATCCTAGTGCCTCCTGGATGACATAGCTGCTGATGGAGATCCGACAGATTTTTGTCGTTGGTAGCCGAACAGAAGGCTCTCGATAGAGCATCAGTAGTTAAGTTTTCAGTCCCTTGTAGTCGAAGCAGGCTAGTTCGAGCCGCCATCGTTGGATCTTGTCGTTCTTGATTTTTACCAGCCTCTTGGTGTGGAACATAAAGGACACAGATCGCTGATCGTTGATGAGAGTAAAGTGTCTGCCAGATAGGAAATGTTTCCATTTCCTTACTGCTTCAACGATAGCATAGGAATCAATTTTGACAAAAAGAGCGTCTGTACTCAAACTCACTGTCTGAGAACGTTCTCGAGGAGAATGTAACTGGTTTACCGGCTTGATTCAGGGAGGCAGCGATGGAAGAGTCGGAAACGTCGGTTTTTACTACGAATGGAATCTTCTCGTCAATCGAGCTGATTACCGCACTTGCTATTTCCACTTTAAGATTTTCGAAGGCGGAAACTGCTTCCCCTTGGAGAAGGAATATCTTAGCCTTGACCAAAGGTCTGACCTTGTCGGAAAAGTGTGAGATCCACCGGTAGTAGTATGTTAAGAGTCCTATCACGCGTAGAGCTGGTGAGTCTTTCGGAAGTGGCAATTCCTTCAGAGGACGCAAGCGATCGGCGTCTGGCTTGAGAGTACCATGCGATATGGTGTAGCCCAACAAATCGATCGACGTTGCTGAGAAGACAGATTTGTCTTCATTGAAGGTGAATTTTGACTTCTTTGCTACCTCAAGGAATCTGGACAGATTTTCATCGTGCTCCTGTTGAGACGACGCAGCGATGGTGGTGATGTCAATGTACGCGAAAGTACCCAGCAGTTCGTTTCTACGTATGAATTCATCGATGACTCGTTGGAAACAAGCCACCCTGTTCGTCATTGTGAATGGGACCCTATGGAACCGGTACAGTTTACACGTGGTTCACGGCCTGTATGCATATATAAGTGTTATTTAGTTTTGGTTGTAAAAACATTATGTAAGAGCCATATTCTGTTTTATAGGGTATAAGGTGTAAAACTTTTAATGTATTGTATGAGGATTAGTTGGCAATCGAGCCATATTTGTGTGGTGGTGGTGGTGGTGGTGATGGTCAAGGCAGAGCAGCGCGAGCCACCGACTGAACCTGACAGCACGGAGAACCAGGAACTCCAGACGTAGGGTACAAGATAGCCGCCGAGTTGTATGTGAAGTAATTGGAGATATTTGGACATGAAAATTGCTCTGTGAATATACATAGTTTAATATATGTCATTTTTACACGACGAGTTTCCATAAGCCCTTACTCTCGGTTTGAAAGTCCCGTGACAACTGACACAATGCACAAGCTTAAAAATAACTCGTGCACTGTAAAACAAATGCTAATCAAGAACTCCCCCAACAATGCAGGCGGCTGCATTTACAAGGTTCCTTGCAAGGAATGTAATAAGTTTTACTTAGGCCAGACGGGTAAAGATCTTATAACTAGACTTAAACAGCATAAATATAGTGTTAGGACAGGCCACGAATCCAATGCTCTGTTTGTTCATTTGAGAGATAACACTGGGCTGCATTTGAAAAAAAAATTATGAGGTGCGGGGTTTCTTAGCTGATTCTTTATGTATTTTGCGTGCTGATTCCAAAAATGCCATTCATTTTGCCCAATCAGGTCAGATTTTTATGCTATGGGAATAAGGAAAAAATCGAAATTCTTAAATATGATGTCAAAATTTTTATACAAAATATATCATAAGAAATGTAACCACAACACATAGGACCAAAATATGTCAACTACATAGATGCCTTTACAGTTAGACGTGCATAAATGGCTGTCGCAGAGAATTTCTTTGGTGGTTGGTGTCTGGGGCGTCCCGTTTCAGACACCAACAGTAGTCGGCGAGCATGTTGATATCCCAGCGACCCTGGTACCGCTCCTCCATTACACGGATATCTTGATAGAAGCGTTCTCCTTGTTCCTCACTCACATCACCACAGTTCTCTGGAAAGTAGTCCAAGTGGGAGCTGAGGAAGTGCATCTTGATGGACATGCATGCACCAAGAACTTTGTAGCTCAGAAGTAGATCCTCAACAACTCGTTCATACTCTGGACTTCTGTAGTTGCCAAGAAAATTGGAGACAATAGACTTAAAGGCATGCCAGGCTTTCTTCTCATTTACAGCCATGCTGCAATCAAACTTGGGATCTTTGAAAAGCTCTCTGATCTGAGGGCCATCAAAAATTCCTGCATTCAGCTTTGCCTCACTGACTTTTGGAAATTTTTCTTTCAGAAAATTGAAAGCCTGGCATTTTTTGTCCATTGCCTTTACAAAGTTTTTGAACAGACCGAGCTTGATGTGCAGTGGCGGAAGAAGAATGTTCTGCGGATTCACCAGAGCATGGGCAACAACATTGTGAGAACCTGGAGTAAGTCCACTTCTTGCAGGCCAGTCACATTGAATGTAGTGCTGCTTGTCTGCTCGACTATCCCACAGACAGAGGAAACATGCCATGTACCACCAGATGAAAAAGAAATTTAATTGTGAAAAAAATATATGTAAAAAAACACGGACATATACTCTTTTCCTTTGCGTCACGGCGGACATTTAAATGGCCGGCGAGCACGTGGGTGTATTTAAATGCATCGTAAGGGCATTAAAACTGACCGAAATCTTTTCTGTGAAGCTTGCCAATGTCTTGGATGATTTTTTTAATGAACGAATATGAGGACCCCATTTTGAGCAAAAAATGCCAGTATTTTACCTGAATCTCCGCTTAAAATGCTATAGCACAAAATTCTGAATTGATTGAGCAAAATGGATAACATTTTTGAGATCAGCATTCAAAATACACCCAGAAAAGCTTAATAATACACAGACCTCAAAAACTATGCAGGGCAGTGTAATAAGCATTGCATTGACTGGGATAATGCCTCCTCAATATTACCTTGTAATTCAATTGACAGTAGGAACATTATAGAATCCAGTCTCATTAAACATACCGAATCCGTCAACGTGAATTTGAGTAATGGTATGTACAAACTGGATAATTTCGTAATTAAGAAAATTTGTAACCAGGTGAGAAGGTTGGGTCATCTTACCCTCTGACCTGACTACCGACTGCTGCGGTGCTTTTTGAAGATTAGTAGGGTCACTACCTAATAACCTGACTACATAAGAACATAAGAACATAAGAATGGAGGAAACTGCAGCGGGCCTATTGGCCCATACTGAGCAGTCCCATTTACACCCAACCCCTATTGCTCATATGAGCATCCAACCTATGTTTGAAGCTATCCAGCGTATTCGAGTTAATGATGATATTTGGTAACTTGTTCCATTCATCCACTACTCTGTTACCAAACCAGTGTTTACCTATTTCGCGCCTAAATCTAAATTTGTCTAATTTAAAACAATTGTTACAAGTTCGCTCCTGGTTGGATAGTTTGAGTACCTTTGTAATGTCCCCTTTGTTCAGCCCTGACTTCCATTTATACACCTCTATCATATCGGCTCTCACTCTACGTCTCTCGAGGGAGTGCAAATTAAGATGCTTTAACCTATCTCTGTACTCAAGGTTCCAAATGCCCGGGATTAGCCTTGTCATTCTCCTCTGAATTCTTTCCAAGGATTCTATATCCATTTGTAAAAAGGTGACCAGAATTGAACTGCGTAATCCAAGTGAGGTCTCACAAGCGCAAGATACAGTTTTAGGATGACCTCTCTAGTCTTGTAACTAACACTCCTTTGTATGAGCCTTGTTTCGAGCAAATACACATTGTTTACTTGGCTTAAGGTTCCTACTTGTCATTACTCCTAAATCTCTCTCGCAGTCGGATTTCTCAATGGCATCGGTGTTCATATGGTAACTGGTTTCCCTGTTTACATCTCCTATACTGAGTACTTTACATTTGTCCACGTTGAATTTCATCTTCCACTTTTTAGGCCATTCGAAAAATGTTTAGATCTTCCTGTAGTTTTGTGGAGTCCTCGTCAGATTTAATAACACGTCCTATTTTGGTGTCATTAGCAAATTTACTTATGTTGCTGTCTATGCCGATATCGATGTCGTTTATGTATATAATTAATAATAATGGTCCAAGTACTGAGCCTTGAGGAACTCCACTAGTGACGTTGTTCCAATGGGATTTAGTGCCGTTATTGCTCACTCGCTGTTTCCTGGCCTGTAACCACGCCCTAATCCATTTAAGGATATTACATTTGATGCCATGTGCTTCTACCTTTCTAATTAGTCTTTCGTGGGGGACGCTGTCGAAGGCTTTGCTAAAGTCGAGATATACCACATCATAATTGTGCCCCTCGTCCACCGATTCGAAAACTTATGAAAATTTTTTTAATAGATTAGTTAGACATGAACGCCCGCTTGTGAAGCCATGCTGGGAATCATTGATCAATCGGTGCTTCTCCAGGTGATTTCGATTAGAGTTTGAAATTATTGCTTCCAGTAAATTGCCTACTATTGATGTTGGACTGATTGGGCGGTAGTTAGAGGCTGGTGATCTATCCTCCTCCTTGAAAATCGGTATTACATTCGCTATCCTCCAGGATTCTGGTACTACACCTGTCTTTAAGGACATGTTAAACAACTTTGCTAAGGGTATACTAAGCTCTTCCTTACATTCCTTTAATACTCTGGCAAATATCTCATCGGGACCAGGTGACTTATTAGGCTTTAATTTGTATATTTGCTTACTAATGTTGTTACTAGTCACTATTATCTCACTTAATTTTGTTCTTCCCTATCTCTGAATAGAGTCGGTGCCCCGCCTATCATGTTTTAATTTTCGGTGATGAAAACTGTTGAAAAATATTTATTCAGATTATTGCTCATTTATCCGTCGTTATCAGTGAGCTCGCCGGTATCTGACCGTATTGGTCCAATCTTTTCTCGAGTTTTAGTTTGATACATTTGGTAGAATCCTTTGGGGTTTGTCTTCGCCTCCCTTGTTATCCTTACCTCATTATTCCTCTTGGCCTTCCTTATCTCGGTTTTAACCCTACTTGCCAATACCTTATAATAATCCCGGAGGTAAATTTCGCCACGATTTATCCTTCTACCTATAGCCTTCCTTTGGCCAATAATGTTCTTTAAATAATTATTTATCCATTTAGGGTCTTTGTTGTCTGATCTGAGTTTTTTGTATGGTATGTTCTGCCTTTGTACATTAAGTAACTCATTATTTAAATTGTCGTGGAACTCTGCAATCTCAGATCTCGTTATCAGGTAGGTGTCAACCGTCAGGTTCGCGGATGGGGTGAGGTCGGTGTGAGTCAACCCCAGGCGTGACACCCCTTCCCCCAACTGCCTCTTCAAACTATCAAAGTTTGCCCTTCTGAAATCTGGGACTTTAGTGGAATTTTCTTTTCGTCCACCCTGAAAATCTAACTGAAATCAAATTTCTTTGCGATCGCTGTTTGCAAGCTCGTTCCCTACCTCGACATTGCTAATGAGGTTTTCTCTGTTCGACAGAACTAAATCGAGTATATTATTACCCCGGGTGGGTTCGGTTATATGTTGACTTAGGAAACAGTCCTGGATCGTTTCGAGAAAATCCTCTGATACTGAGTTACCCGTAAGGTAGGTCCAATCTATTTCGCCAAGGCTAAAGTCGCCTACTATACAGACTTTGTTGTGTATGGAAGCCCTGCGCATCTCATTCCTGATAAGTCGCTCATTAACTCTATCAAGAATGGGAGGTCTATATATTACTCCTGTGATCAAATTTTTCCGTACCATCGATTAATTCTATCCAAATTGTTTCTGTATTCCGCTCAGTTTTTATTTCCTTGTTTATTTCACACTTCAGGTTATCCCTGACATAGACTGCAACTTCGCCTCCTTTCCTGGTCTGCCTGTCGGTATGGAACAGTTTGTAACCTGCAATT